GCAGATAATAGTCACTGTCACTATTGTTCGAGCAGAGCAAACCTCTAGTATGTAGTCTAGATCAGACGATAGTAACGGCAGACATATGTTCATAGCTGAAACAATGCGTATGTGTCAAAGACAAATCAACATAGCAGCAACAATGCAAAGAGGAAAACTCCATGCAGTCTCACTCTGCGGTTGCAAGTTGAAGAACAAAATAATACACCACGTCGTAATAACGGTCACCGTATTGTTTGAGCAGGGCGAACCTCCAGTTACAGCAGTCATACTTTTATAGCTGAAACAATGCGCATGTCAAAGGAAATCGACATAGCAGCAACAATGCAAGGAGGAAAGTACAAGTTGCGTGACTAGAGGATTTCATTCAACAGAGGCTCAGAATGACAGATAGCAGTCTCCTACCGTTTATCATCAGCTCCCAGATCCTTCGACAGCAGCACTCGATCCCACTTGCACGTCTTCGATGCCTTCTCCGCTCACAGTATCTTTACCTTTACCTTTGCCCCGTCTTCTCCTTCTCCCTTTCTGATTTTCCCCTTGATCTCCTGCCTCCGCATCATCCACTGAGCGCATAGGCGGAACGTACACAGGAGTGTCCCCGCTCAAGTTTTCCCAAGGCCGGTCAGTATTAACACGTTCCTTCCCTTTCCCCTTCGAATCCAAATTCGCGTCGGGACGAGGTTCACGGGTAGGTTGCGGGGACGAAGGGCGCGAGATATGCGGTGACGGCGTGGCAGAACCTGGCTTGACAGTCGTCGTAGTTAGCACCGTCTTCGTCTTTTTCCCCTTCGTTGATCCAAGAGTCAGCACCTTGTGACTCTGAGGCTGCGGAGGCGGCGCGGGGCGCGGGGATGGCGACTGGGAGTGCGAAGGCGTCGGGTAGGCAGAAGAGGCTGTGGATGAGAGAGTGGGAAATGCACCGGCGGCGGCGATGCGTTCTTGTTCCGCGCGTTCGCGAGCAAGTTGTTCTTTGATGGTCGTCTCTGAAATTTCGGATTCAACGCGTAACAGTAGGCTCGTGCGAGCTGAGAGGGTGAGGAGCGGTTCTTTGCAGGAGGGACAGAGGTGCGCGGGCGCTGCAAGGTTACACAATGGTAGGGCGCATGAAGTACACATCGGAACATATGTTGAGAGGGGATGGGTACGAGCTGTTGAAACGGTTATTACAGATCGCAATTCAGCAATTCACAACATTCACCTTGACAGAAACACCCTCCGGTAGGGTCCATCGTTGTCCCCGTAGATGGATCTTGTAGGGAAGCACGCAAAGCATTCAGGTTACGCAGAGCCTTGCTCTGAGGTACTGCAGGCTCTGGTGTTTTCGAATTCTTCGGACGTGTTATTGCAGGTCCGGGCTTTGGGCGCAGACGATCGGAAGGCAAAGAAGACGATTTCGCCCAAGCAGTGTGATGCATCGATTGACTACTAGGAAAACCTGTGATCAGAAGTTGGATATTCCCTCTGCAGAACTCCCTGTACGCGTACTTTGAGATTGTGAGAAGGATATTCTAAGCTGGAGGTTTAGTACAAGCTGCGACTGGCGACAGGATATACAGAACGCGACACACGATGTGAAACTCGCCCTAAAGGCTACAGATAATCATGAGTCAGAAGGTGTAGCCAGGTAAGTCTATTTTTATTGACCTTTGTTGCCCGCCTAGCTCAATCGGATAGAGCGTCAGACTCTTACGTAGGCAGGGCATCTGAAGGCTGCGAGTTCGACCCTCGCGGTGGGCTATTCGATGTTCAAAAAAAAGTTTTTATTCTCCTGTCCTTCTGTTATCACTTCCACACTGGCGGCGGACCCATGATTTCACTGCAAGCCCCCTGGAGCCCTCGAGAATAGCGATACAAGTTTATTAGCAAGAAATCGATGTCTCCCTCTACAACCTGCATTTCAGCATGTCCACCTCCAATATCTGTACCCGATACCCTTTGACTCATACCCACCCTCGTAAATCATAAACATAAAATTAAAATCATAGCACTCCCAAACTTGTACATGAGATAATCTTTGAGAACTGGGGCGTGAATAAGGATGTCATGACTACGTCGCGCCCACTCCCGGCTTACGAGGAAGCAGGTGGGAGGAGCGGGATAGCAGTCGGAGGATCCATGAAGGTGAATCGCAGATACTTAATAATAAGAACGAGGGGTAGTACATAGCCAAGATGTGGTGCATTAATATCAAAAGAGTCATAGCGTACCATTATCCTAGTCAAGGAGGCGTAGGCGTCAGCCTACGAGGTCGAATCATTCGAATTTCGTCGTCACCAGGGAATTCCTCCAACTCATCCCGCTGCTCTGGCTTATGCTCGGCCTCAACTTCAATAAGTTGAGACACATCTTCGCCCGATGGGGCGAAATCCGAGAACGTCACCAGCGTCGGGAATAACGGTGTCGTAGAGATTTCCATGGAGCGTTCCCCGCCGTCCGTGATATCCCCTTCAGCGGTGCTGGCCACTGGAGCTACGTCCACCCCGTCAGCGTGATTATCTGGTTGATCAGGGGGCAGATGCCGCCGAATCATCTCATCCTCAAGTTCGTTTTCATGTGATGCAAGTTCTATATCTCCATAAGATGTTCCGCTGTCCAAATCATTATAAGAGTCCGTCATAGAGGGATCCCTGGGAGTCATACAAGGAGTAACGGTTTCCTCCTCACCGTCACTCTCATGTTGTCGCGATTCAATGACACCGGTGAGAGCAGCACGCTCGGCGGTGAAAGCATCGATTTGGAACGAGAGGCGATCGACCTGCTTGCTAAGGCGTTGAATGACAGTCTCTGTGGAAGAATATGGCGGATCATCTGATTCTGCAAGCGGTGGAGTGCGTTGCTGGGACTGGACGCGGGGGC